GTTATCAGCCTGTTAAAGTTTATCACAAGATCAAGTGAAACACATATATCAGTAGTGTTTTAATATACACAGAGGGGTAATTGCAAAATTAGCAGCCAGAAAAAAAAACAAAAAGAAATACTGTACAATAAAATGGAAAAGAATATGTTTGTTGATTCTGTGTCTACACCAGTTGAGGCTGAGAGACTATTTCCTCGACAACCAAAATAAAGCTCCCATTGGTCCAGATGACATCCTCAACTTTTTCCCTCTTGTGAAGCACATTCACATGCCAACTGTAGATGCTTTAAAAGCATATCATGCTGCAGAGAACTCCATTCAGAAAGGTAGGACAATAAAGCAGGGCACTTTTTTTGTTGCAAAATCTATGTGATAAGAACCTTTTGTACAAAATATTGTGCATTTCCCAACTGCAGGTCTGATGGATCAGGCCCATGAACACCTAAAAGAAGCAGCCTACTTGTTTGGCCATGTGTGTGATAACCTGCACCCTGAGGCCTGTTATTGCCACAGCCTTTTGGCCAGGGTCGCGTACCTGCAGGGGAAGACAGCCGAGGTAGGTCTACTTCACAGCCATGCTAATGCTCAAAAATATAAATAATTTCCTGTGGTGGACATTAACTAAGTACAGTGACTGAAGTAGTAGTAGTAGTACATTACAAGGTACTTGTGCTGTATTTTAATATTTTCATTTCCTGATACTCCTTAATACTTCAGCTCCACTACATTTGAGGGGTAAATATTATATATTAAGGTGATTGTAATTGCAAATTTATGTGAGGCTGACTCATCACTGTGACTTCTTCTGTTCTCAAGGCTCGTAGTGTCAAGCTGAAAGCAGTGGTCATCAGTGAGAGAGTGCTGGGCTTTGACCATCCAAACACTATCCAGCAATATGTGGGTATAACTACACATTATTAGTACTTTGCCATGTGGTCTCAGTGCAGTTATTATCACTGTTATGATTTATGCAGGTCCTCTTGGGTGTGTATGTGTATGCTGGAGGAGAGACTGCTCTGGCTCAGAAGTGTCTCCTCAGAGCTCGCCTGCTAATACTAACAGTCCATGGAGAAGACCATCCATACGTCGCTACAGTGGATGTAGGTTGCAGCATCTTAATAATCACGTCATCCTCAATTTATGTTAACCCCTTTTGCTATTGTCATTACAAATAATGCTGCCACTGTTTCCCCAAAGAGCTGTCTTGGGTTGGTGCTGACAGGAGACCAGACAGGGCAGTTCTTAAAGAATGCCCTCAGACTCAACAATTCCTTCTTCGGACCCACAGCTTTGTGTACTGCTCTCAGGTAAGTTGTCATTTATAGCTTGTACTGATAATTTGTAGAAAAGATCTGCAGAGTTCTATTTCATTACCTTCCCCAAAATCATTGTTGTTTCTCTTCCTGGTGTTTTGTCTGTGCAGTCAGCGGCTGCTGGCCCAGTGGATGTGCAGTAAGGGTGACTACAGAAATGCTATGACCCATGCGAAAGAGGCCTTCACTGCTTTTACCTCTTTGGTCAGTATATCTTTGGTTGAGAGAGAGAAAAGTGGACTGTTGTGTGTTGATTTTGTGCCTGGCAGTACTCGCACTGTGAGGATCAAAACCCATTTACACACTCACATTGTGGGGACTCAGCCTTTCTTGTGGGGGGACATGATGTGGGTCTCAACCATGTAAATCATTGAATTTTAGGGTGTCGACTACCTTCAAGGTCAGGGTTAGATGAATAATGGTTATGGTAAGTCTCCAGAAGATGCCAATTTAAACTCCCCACAAGGAATGAAAGCAAATATACTTTAAGTATGTCTGTGTGTGCGTGCCTTTGTATTACTTACAGCATGAGGACCGAAACCTGTTAACACACTCACACTGTGGGGACTTGGCCATCCTTGTGGGGACCAGAAGCTAGTCCCCACAAGGAAATCATTGAATTTTAGGGTGGCAGCATGGTTTAGGGTTAGGATGAGGCTAGGTTAAGTGTTAGGTGTTACGGTTAGGCAAGTATTGGTTATGGTTAAGGTTAGGATAAGTCTACAGGAAATGAATGTACAGTGGTGTGAAAAAGTGTTTGCCCC